TCAATTTGTATAAAGGAAGTAGAGTGAAAATAAGTAAAACCACAATTTCTGTTCCTTTTTCATTATAGCAAAATACAATGAATACAAAGTATGATTCATTAATTCCAAGCTTATGATCACAGACATGAGCCACAAACCATGAATGTCAAGTAAGCACAGACCAAGTTAAGTCAGAGTCAAATAAAGTATACATCAAAATTAATGATACATATTTAATGATATGGATATCATAATAATTGCTTAACTAGATGGAAGGAAGGTCCCAGACAAACTTCCCCGACTGCACAGATCAGCTGCCTCTGGTGGTCACCCATCCTCTTTCATCCCATTCTAGTTCCCAAAGGAAAAAATCCTTGGTCTCTTGGAGAAGGCCTGGCAGCCATACTCTTACTCTTTATGTTCCTTCCACAGGCTGAAAGCATAGGTTAGGTGATATGAAGTAAAGAAAGGTCTCCCTTTGCAATTCCTGTTCACAGGCCAGAGAAGCTACCCAGAGCTACCAGAAGCGTATCTTTTCATCAGTGTCCCTCTAGCACCTCGCACAGAGTCATGACCCCTGGGAAGACAGGCGATTGGGTGAGGGAAAAGGTTGGCATGGCAATGGTGAGAGCCTTAGAAATCTACCTCTTAGTGCATATTGAGTAATTGTTGCGTTATCCTAATATCTAGTACCCAAGGAACTGGGGATTTTAAGGAATATGAGGGTTTTGGACCTTTATAGAAAGAGGGAACATAAATTAGAGAAGGTGTCTCCCCCCAAAGAAACACCTCTTCACTTAATACTGATATTAGGCAGGAACTACTCCTGCTCCCTTTCTTCTGGAACTCATTGAACCTGCCTGGTCTCTTTCCAAATCTGCTCATAGTTGAGTAGGCCAGCAGTGAGGATAAAATACTCGCAACAATCTAGCTCTTTGATGCCACTCCTAAAGGAGGATCCAGGATTGAACATTTGTATTTTGTTTTGATCGGGAAGTATCAGGGTATAAGAACGTTTATAGCCTACTTAGGGTTTATGTTTAGTACGGACTACCCCCAAGAGGAATTCTAGGATGCATTCCAATGGGGACACATAGAACTTCTCATCCAACTAAAATAATTATGGAAAATTAGAGGGGAATTCTCACCACATCTGTGTTATAAATGACCCACTGAAATTCTTTCCTAAAAGCAAATGGTGGTGCCACTCCTACTGGTTTATATTGATAATCTGGTCCTTTTCAACTGATACTGCAAATAAAATTCTCACTACCTCTTCTAACTGCTTTTGAATATCTTATAATTGCCATGAATAATCATCTCTTTGTAAATCACACAGCACAGGTGCTGATCCATATAAAGGGGTAATTTCATCATCAGTCAAAATTTATGAAACCTTGTGGAAAGAAAACGTTTTCAGCTGTATAACAGAAATAACGGCCCCAAAATGTCTTTCCTAAAATTAAAGTAATGTGCAATATATTATGTACATAGAAAGAAGGTGTTAGATAATTATTTTCATAGCTATTACACTATGGGCTTAAAGATAACTCATTAAAGTATTTTAAAACAGTACAAGTTATTGAGACTGCAATAACAAATTGGTAATAAAAGTTTATATGTCCATTTATGACATATGGTATTCATAGAGAAACCAATTAAAGGCAGCTGCATTTTAAGTACATATTGAAAGGCAGGCTTCTAATGACTAGTTACCGCAGTAAGCCCTAACTCTCCCACTGATCACTCCCTACACACACTTACACACACACAGACACTTTATCAAAAGCTTGTCTTATATGGGATCTATATTTGCTAATAAGTCTACAAAAACTTCCATAGCAATGCTGGTGTCAAGGGACAGAAGTGACATCGCCTTTTATCTTAACCAATTTCTACCAAGCTTTTGTTCTATGTTTAGAAGCCTAGGGTGATAGTGGAAAGGAGGTAGAGCTTTAACCTGCAATGGAAGTCAGAATCGTGTAGCAGAGTAGACATTTCATTTGAAATCAGGAATTTTGATTTGTGGTCCCATTTCTTGCATTGATTTTGGACAAGTCCACAAATTCCTTGACACTTCTCACCTTTAAAAGGCAGAGCCTACCTTACCTTTCCTTGAATGTAGGTGGCATTTTGTGAATATATGCCTTAATCAGTACATGGAGCAGAAGTGACACTGTGTGACTTCCAAAGCCAGCTCATAAAAAATGATATGGGGTTTCTCTCTCTTTCTCTTCTGGGACAGATGCCTTTGGACCCCTAAGCCACCATGAAAGATATCCAGCTACTCTGGAACCACCATGTTGAAGAAACCACATGAGGAAACCACATAGAGATAGAGCAGCCCACTAAACCTCAGGTGTTTGATCTTCCAGCTCAGGAGACAGACATACATGTAAAAAATGCTTCCAGCTTCAGCCACTAGAAACCCTTACCCAGAACTGCTCTGTTAGTTACTTGTGAATTCCTAATCCACAAAGCAGTGAAAGATAATCAATGATTATGTTGTGTCAAGTCATTAAGTTTTAGGGTGTTTTTTTAAATGCAATCACAGTAACTGGAACAGGAACTATACTGGAATCTGAACTAAAGGAAAAAAAAAAAAGTCACTCACAATGTCAAACAAGGTAATCTGTAGCATTCACCAAATGTGAGCCTGAGACCAGAACAAGACGGTGCCTGGTTACCACCACCATGCACTCTGACTGGAATCACAATAGAAGGTCCTGGACATAGGGGGAGAAAAATAGAGAACGAAATTCAAAATCATAAAAAAGACCAGACTTACTGGTCTGATAGAGATTGGGAGAACCCCACAGACTATGGCTCTTAGACAAGCTTCAAAGCTGGAACTGAATGCACTGAGATCATCTTTCAGCCCCAAAATACACAAGCCTATAAAGCAAACAGTAACACCTGTGAAGAATGTGCTCCTCAGAAAAATCAACCATATGAGACCAAAAGGGTAGCATTTACCCAAACACAAAATTTAGAAGCAGGAAGGGGCAGGAAAGAAGGAAATGGGGAAGCCAGGGAGGAAGTGGGAAGAGTACTGTCACACTGAGGGGACTACAACTAATGTCATGAAACACAATATATAGAAACTGTTAAATGGAAAACTAATTTTCTCTGCATACTTTTACCCAAATCACAATAGAATGTTAAAAAAAGAAAAATAAAAAATCACCAATAAATGTAACACCAGAATAAAATAAACACCAGAATAATCAATTTTTTACTTCTAAACTGGGTGACCTTAGGAGAATTTTCTCACATTCATAGTTAAAAGATATGACCTTAAGTGGAGCCATTTGAAACCAGCAAGAAAGCCAAAGGCAAAGGAAATAGATGGAGGATTATTGAGTCATTTCTATGTAAACAGTGGACCTATTGCTCACTGCCTTTCTGTCTCATAATCGTTCTCAATAGACCATGCAGTCAGTGGAGTTTAAATGTTTCCCCAGATACTTCTCTGATAACTCTGAAAAAGTAGAACTTCTTCTTTTAAAAGGACAAGGAAAAGAGCTGGAGGAGTATAGGCAAGAAAGGTGGCATTTGTTGCTGGGCCAGAAAAGAGTAAATTCCGGATAGCTAGTCTGTCCTTGTGTAGCTGAACCAAAAATGATGCTCAGAAGGATGCTCTGGTGGTGCAGCGCCTATGGCACTGGCTGCTAACCAGAAAGCTAGTGGTCCAAACCCACCAGCCACTCTGTGGAAGGAAGACTGGGCAATCTACTTCCATAGAGATACCACCTTGGAAACCCAAAAGGGGGTCACTATGAATCAGAATCGACTCGATGGTAGTGAGTTGGTGGGTTTTTTTTTTTTTTGGTAATACTATATTCCAAGGTATTCTAAAATCAGTTCCTCTTCAGTTGCCTCAGAAAAGAATGTCTTCCTTGTTTGCAGTAAACCAAAACGAAGAAAACAAACGCACTGCCATCTAGTCGAATCCGACTCATAGTGACCCCTCCTTGGGTTTCCGAGGCTGTATCACTACCAAAGTAGATTGCCCAATCTTCCTTTTGAGGAGTAGCTGGTGGGTTTGAACCCCTAGCCTTCTGGTTAGCAGTCAAGTGCCTTAGGCACTACACCACCAGAGCTCCCTAGTTTGCCTCAGTGGGACATTTATTAAACGACACTTACTATATACCAGGCTAAGTGTTTCACATGTATCCCTCACTTAAACTTTGACATTCTTGATGATTTCCATTTTGCAGAAGGGAATAGGAGCTCTGGTAGCATAGTGCCTAAGGCACTTGACTGCTAACCAGAAGGCTGGCTGTTCAAACCCATTAGCCACTCCTTGGAAGGAAGGTTGGGCAATCCTACTTCTGTAGTGATACTGCCTCGGAAACCCAAGGAGGGGTCATTATGAGTTGTGGCCGGCTTGACGGCACATAACAACAACAACAATAGAATGGTTAAGAAGGTTGGCCAGGATCAGATAACGAGACCAAGCTGGAATTCTAACATAGGGTAGTTCGATTCTGGAACCTATGCCACTACCATAACCTCTACCTTAGAAAAAAAAGTTATGCCCAGTGAAAGATGCCCTGTGTCACAGAAATAAAAAACTAAAGCAATTAGAGGCCCAATGGGGAATGAACAGCAAGCCAATCATTATGAGTGCTCACATGACAAACAGTTAACGTTTCTCATCATATAATACTGTTATTGAATATTGAGATATGAAGTTTGCTTTCTGAAATATATACCAAGCTTATCTGGTACATCTTAACTATATTTAAAATATAAACTGTGTTTATACTCAGGGCTAACATCCCAGCCCAAGTCAACATGGAAGAGTCAATTGTCAGCTTTGAGTTTGGGTAGATAGAAATGCTATAGATAGATCTACATACCATAAAGTGAAACAGTTTAATTACTTACCACAGAATATCTTCCAGAAGAATTTCAGTGGTAACTTCATTAATCAGGCAGTGAGGGCATTTGTTGAGAGGTTAAGACTGGCAATTTCAGGTTTGTATATGTGTGTTAGATAAAACAAAACTACTCACCAACTCCAGACACTGTCTGTGGCCATAGGCAGCAGCATAATGTATGCTGTTGTAACCTTCCTTGTCCCGGATAGATGGGTTAGCATCATTCTGCAGCAGAAACTCTAGACATCTGTAAATATAAAGACAGAACGTTATTTAGAAAACACCTCTGGGCCAAAAGGCACAATCAATGTAAATCATCTCCTTTTCTGCATGTTTCACAAAGCACTTTGTGAATTTTAGTATTTCTTTAGAAATCCTACAACAATGAAGTTTCACGAGCTGTAAGGGATATGTGTGTGTGTGTGTTCATAGGCTTTATTTCAGCTTAACATAGATATTCTAGAATTCAGGAAATGCTTTAGGAATAAGAGGGTAATTAAGGCTTTTTTTTTGTTTGTTTGTTTTCCCTCATATTAGGGTACAGAACCTGTCTGGCCTCAAGATCACTGAATAATTAGTTGTTAACAGTGCATATTCAAAAGACAAAGTCTAAATGTAATAAAGGAATGGTTAGGCAATTGCAATGGGGCAAACCTCAATTAAATGAGTTTGTTTTTAACCTTGCTTTTGGAGACTCTAAAATCAAAAGTTAGGAAAAAGAAAGAATAAGAAAAAGAAAGGACTTAAGAATAGCTTAAAAACTAAGAAGATTAAAGGAATGGGTAAATATTTTTAAAATATACAGTATTAACTCAGTGACCACATATGAAAAAATGTGCTTACATTGTACAATTAGAAAAAAGACTAGACTTAAAACAATAAATTTAAAAAACCCTTTCTGACAGGTAATTTTTCTGAAAAAGCCATAATCATTGGAAAAGTTAAAGAAAAAGCCATGGCACCACTTTGCTAAAGAGCCAAACTAGTACGCAAGTCCTCACAGATTTAACGGACATGGTTCAGGACCTACCGAGAATGAGCTGTCCTGCCAGGTACAAATAGAATAACTGGGCAGTAGGCACTGCTCCAGAATTTCAGAATTATTTCTGTACTAGTGGAACAAGCATGTACTTTACAGGGCCAAGCTGATTGCTTTCATACTCAAAAATCTTAGGATTATAAATGTTAAGTCTATACATTAAACAAGACCTTCCAACAGAAATGTTTGTAGTTTACTTAAAAACTATTAAATGACATTTACCTATCTTTTGGCATAAGATAAAAGAATAAATTGCTCATTGTTATGTGCTGTCAGGTTGGTTCTGACTCATAGCAACCCTATGTACTAGCGAACAAAACATGCCGAGTCCTGCACCATCCTTGCAATCATTGTTGCTATGTTTTACCTATCTTTTGGCATAAGATAAAAGAATAAATTGCTCATTGTTATGTGCTGTCAGGTTGGTTCTGACTCATAGCAACCCTACGTACTAGCGAACAAAACATGCCGAGTCCTGCACCATCCTTGCAATCGTTGCTATGTTTGAGCCTATTGTCGCAGCCACTGTGTCAACTCATCTCATTGAGAGTCTTCCTCTTTTTCACTGACCTTCCTCTACTTTACCAAGTATGATGTGATGTCTTTCTCCAGGGACTGGTCTCTCCTGATAGCATGCCCAAATTATGTGAGACAACGTCTCACCATCCTTACTTCTAATTAGCATTCTGGTTGTACTTCCTTTAAGATAGATCTGTTAATTTTTCTGGTAGTTCATGGTATATTCAATATTGCACACCAACACCATAATTCAAATGCATCAATTTTTCTTTGATCTTTCTTGCTCATTGTGCAGCTTTCACAAGTATATGAGCAGATTGAAAATACTATGTCTTGGCTGAACGATCATGTATGTCTAGGCAAAAGGGAATATACTCATGTCCATACAACAAGGTAAAAAAAAAAACCAAACTCACTGCTGTCGAGTCAAATCTGACTCACTATGGAAGTAGATTGCCCAACCTTCCTTCCGAGGAGAGGCTGGTGGGTTTGAACCGGCAGCCTTCTGGTTAGCAGTCAAATGCCTTAGGCACAACACCACCAGAACTCCCATGTATTAAGGTGGGTAGACGGTATTTCTACATATGTATTTGTATGTGCTGTAGGAAGGTCCATATATATATAATAGAGCTAACAAGGGGCAAAGTCATAATAACTTCTTAGCCATAGCCAACCACCCTGAAGGAGTGAGTAGTTGGACCTGTGGGCTTGGAATCATGGTCACAGGGGACATCAAGCTCAACTGGCATAAGATACTACACAAAAACATTGTTCTACATCCTACTTTGGTGAATAGCATCTAGGGTCTTAAAAAGCTTGGAAGCAGCCATCTAGATAGAACAATGGCTCTCTCCTCATCCAGAGCAAAGAACAATGAAGAAAACCAAAGACACATGGAAACAAGCAGTCCAAGGGACTAGTGCACCATATGAACCTCAGCCTATTTGACCATGAGACCAGAAGAACTAGATGGTGCCCAGCTACCACTGTCAACCACTCAGAAAGGGATCAGTGCAGAAGATCCTGGATAGAGTGGGAGAATAATGTGGAACAAAATTCAAAATCATAAAAAAAAGACCAGATCTACTGGTCTGAAAGAGCCTGATGAGACCACTGAGACTGTGGCCCCTAGTTACACTTCAGGTCTGGAACTGAACTCACTCCTGTGGCTTTGAGCCAAACAATAGACAAGTATATAGGGTGAACATCTATATCAGGTAGATACACTCTTTAGAATCATGGGAGAACAGAAGGGCAGTATTTGCAAAGGGAGATAGCTCGGGGGCAGGAATGCATAGGAAAGAAAGACACAGGGAAGACGTAACTACAGGAAGGAAGTGGGAAGAGAGATGTTACAGTTTGGAGAATTGCAGCCTATGTCATTAAACAAAATGTGTATAAACTGCTTTACAGAAAATGAATTTGCTCTGTGAACTTTCACCCAAATCACAACAAAAATTAAAAAGAAGATACCATGTCTTGGGTCAGGTGCACCTTAGTTCTCAAGGTGATGTCTTTGCTGGCTTTTGAATACTTTAAAGAGGTCTTTTTCAGCAGATTTGCCCAATGCAGTATGCCATTAGATTTCTTGACTACTGCTACCATGGGGAAATCACTCATAACCCAAAATTCAAAACCCATTGCCATCGAGTCAATTCTGATTCATAGTGACCCTAGAGGACAGAGTAGAACTTCCCCATAGGGTTTCCAAGGCTGTAATATTTACAGAAGCAGACTGCCACATCTTTCTTCCACATAGCAGCTGGTGGGTTTGAACCACTGATCTTCTGAGTCAGCAGCTGAGTGCTTAACCATTATACCACCAGGGCTCCTCTAAATTATTCACAAAGACAATTAAAGCAGGTATTTCCATTTCCAGAAAGACTGATGAGAGACAAAGTTTTAAGCCAAATAGCTACATGTCACATAATTTATCTATAAAATGCTCCATAATAAATCAAGCTATTATTGGAACACTGCAATCATATTGCCTTTGGTGATTTGCCCCTTATAAGGAAGTTCTTTTTTATTTTGGTAATTAAATAGATGTCCATGGACAAGATCCCAAGTGTGACTCATTTTCAACCAAATTCATCCCTTTAAATAAATCCTTCAACAGAAATAGTGTTGTAGTGGCCACAAAATCCCCAACTTCTCAATGGATTATATTCTAAAAGTCAATCAGTAAATGGGTTGTGTGGAATTTGGAAAGCACTTGGAATTACCCTCAGAGAATTACTTAAACAAGCTGAATTATGCTACCAACAGTGTTATAGTTTTTCTTTAACAAGTAATCTATAAAACAGATACCCCTTATTGTATATTGCCTTCCCCTTCACTCAAGTTAATATGAGTCTACCCTCAAGTTAGTGGTTTACCCTCCCTTCCCCTCACACTGCTGGTAACCACCAAAGAGTATTTCTTTTTGTGTATAAACATTTTCTTAACTTTTTCAACAGTGGTCTCATACATTATTTGTCCTTTTGTGATTGTGGTAGTTAAAGTTGTGTGTCAACTTGGCTGGACCTGGTTGAGTGGCTGGGCAGCTGGGGGTAGTTATTCCCTATGATGAGACTGGAAATCAACTCCATGGTGGGATCTACCACAAGCAGCTGAGTAGCTGCCTTAGGGATGTGGTCTTTTTCCCATATATTAGCAGCAGCTTTGGGAATGGTCTCCAGCTTATGGAATGCTTGAACCCTTCATGTTCAGCAGCCTGCCATGCTCTGCCAACCTTGAGACTTTCAAGAGACTTGAATTAATGGCCTGCTGTGTGGTTTGGTGACATCAGGACTGTGCCTTTTTACTTGTCAACCTTGGGTTTGTCAGCTTCAGCAGCCAGCAGCTGAGTGAAGAAAACCCTCCAGCTTCAGTGGGCCGGGAGCAGGAGGCGGAGCTGGATCCCAAGGTTGAGGGGCTTTCTCCCAGCCCCTAGAGCCTGGCACTTTGAAGTCGGACTTAAAGCCTCCAAATTGTAAGAATAAACTCCTGTTTGTTAGGACCATCCCATTTGTGGTATATTCTTGTCAGAGTGGCACAGAGGTAACCAGAACAGTGATTGACTAATTTCACTCAGCATAATGTCCTCTAAGTTCATCCATATTATGAGATGTTCAACAGATTTGTTGTTGTTTTTTTAATGTTGCATACTATTCCATTGTGTGTGTGTACCATAGTTTATTTACCCATTCATCTGTCAAGGGGCATTTAGGTTATTTTTGTCTTTTTGCTATTGTGAATAGTGCCACAATGAAAACGTGTACATATCTGTTCATGTCACAGCTCTTATTTCTCTAGGATATATACCTAGTAATGGGATTGCTGGAGCATATGGTATTTCTATTTCTAACTTTTTAAGGAAGCACCATACTGTCTGCCACAGTGGTTGCACCATTTTACAGTCCCACCAGCAGTGTATGAGGGTTCCAGTTTCTCTACACCTCATTAGCATTTGTTGTTTTGTTTTCTTGAATTTTGCTATTAATACTGGGGTGAGATGATATGTCATTGCTGTTTGGATTTACATCTCTCTAATGGCTAATGATCACAAGCATTTCTTCACATATTTGTTGGCTGCCTGAATGCCTTCTTTGGTGAAGTGTCTGGTCATGTCCTCTGCCCAATTTGTATTGGATGATTTGTCTTTTTGTTGCTGAAGTTTTGAAGTTTTCGATAAATTTTAGAGATTAGCCCCTTTCTGATATGTATTTCACACCAAAATCCAAGACTTTTATTTTATGTTGCTGTTGCGGTTTGCCATCAAGTTGATTCTGACTCACAGTGACCTTAGACAACAAAGTAGAACTGACTGGTAGGATTTCCTAGGCTGTAATTTTTAAGGGAGCAGATCACCAGGTCTTCTCTCACACAGAATTGCTGGTGGGTTGAAAACATCTCCCTTTTGGGTTAGCAGCCACTGTGCACCAGGGTTCCTTTCTTTCTTTGTTAGGTGCCGTTGAGTTAGTTCTGACTCACAGTGACTCTATGTTCAACAGAACAAAATACTGCCCGGTCCTGCACCATCCTCACAGTATTTGCTATGCTGGAGCCCATCACTGTAGCCACAGTATCAGTCCATCTTGTTGAGGGTCTTGCCCTTTTTCTCTGACCCTCTGCTTTACCAAGCATGATATCCTTCTCCAGGAATGGGTCCCTTCTGACATTACCAAAGTACATGAGATGAAGCTCGGCCATTCTGGTTTCTAAGGAGCATTCTGGCTGTACTTCTTCTAAGACAGATTTGTTCATTCTTCTGACAATCCATGGTATTTTCAATATTCTCCTCCAACACCATAATTCAAATGCATCCTTTATTTACAGGAGCTGGTAAATAGTTTTCATCAGGTTGTGAAAGAAGAGCCTAAAGCCCTGAGTGAAATTACTATGTCCCTTCAAACACATGGTACGTGGCAGAGTCGGAAAGGACATCTAGGAGACCTGGTCCTGAAAACTGCTGACCAATCTACTGATGGCTGTGGCAAGCTTACAATTTTAGAAAGAGCTCCCTGCATGAAAAACAGCAAAACTGAAGGATATATTGAAAGAACAATTTCTTCTTTATTCAAGACAAGCCTACATCACTTCCTCAAGATTCCAAGTTGAACCCAAAAGAGTAGTCTAACCCACATAGTGACCCACAAAGCAGACAGAGCCATCAGAAATGCCACTGTGTTCTTAAGCTGAGAAGGAACTTACAGTGCAGCTTCCTTTTCCTTTAGCTCTCTGGCTCTTTCAAGTTCTTCTGAATTTTCATGGGTGTTTCCTAAGATGGTCTTACTTCTCAGCATATGGGATAAGAAAAAAAAATGCAATTAATTTTTTAATGACAAAGTTGTTAATGATTTAGGTGCAATTTATATGCACCTAAATTTATTATTTTTACTGTGAACCCCCCAAAAATAAGCAACATTGCTTTTCATGGAGGATCTGCACGGTTCTCTCCAAGGCCATCCAGTAAATCTATTCTTTCCAAAGGAATTCAACTGGAAACACAACTTTACTAAAACTTACACCTAGGTACAAGTGATCAATACAACAATTTGTCCATCCTTTCGTAAACATCCTAAACTCCCAGGTAAATAGGAGGTGACCTTGCTCAAACTTCTCAGACTCCTACCACAGTCCTTGCTGCCTACTCACGAGGTCAGAATCTCACTTATGTAAAGACGGGCTTGTAATCAGCCTTCATCTACCAGAACAATTCTTCACCATCCATGAGTCCTTTTGAGCTCTTAGCAGATGTAGTATGCTTGCTCTCCCCCACCTTGGCCATTCCCACTCCATCCCAAGTGAAGAGCACAAAGTCTGGCACATAGCAGATGCTAAATTAATACTGTTGCATTAATAATCTACATGGCTATGGGATTCTGAGAGCTACATCCTACTTGGAAATATTATATAAACATGAAGAGAAAAATGAGCAGTGTTTATTCAAACTATGTATCATAATCCATAACTGAATTTCAAAATCATTTTAGTAGGTTGCAGTCAGCAGTTTTTTTTAAACATCACACATAGTAAAGATAAAGATGGTGTCATAAAATCTTTGTGTCAATGTTACATACTCATGTGTAACACACATATCTGTCATGACGTAAAATCTATTTCTTACTGTGAGTCACCATCTAAAATGTGTAAAAGCCATTGCTGTATAGGATAAGCAGTTAGCACTGACCCAGAACCAATTCCACAGCATAGGGCAGCAAATAACTCAATAGCTCTCCAAACAGGGTCATCAAAAAGTACTCCTACGAAGGAGGCCTTGGCCCTTAAGCCTGTGAGAATAATCTCGTAAACTATGGGCATTTCTCCCATGTCCAAAAAAAAAAAAAAAAAAGCTCACTGCCATTGAGTCGGATTCGACTCATAACGACCCTTCCTTGGGTTTCTGAGGCAGTATCATTACGGAAGTAGACTGCCCAACCTTCCTTCCGAGGAGTGGTTGGTGGGTTTGAACTGTCAGCCTTCTGGTTAGCAGTCAAATGCCTTAGGCACTATGCTACCAGAGCTCTCCCATGCATTCTTCTTGAATTGGTTCATGTATTTCTGCTTTCCTTTTCTAGCCACCTAGAGTCCAAACAGGAGCTCTGGTAGCATAGTGGCTAAGACACTTGCCTGCTAACCAGACGGCTGGTGGTTCAAACCCACCAGCCACTCCTCGGAAGGAAGGTTGGGCAATCCTACTTCCGTAGTGATACTGCCTCGGAAACCCAAGGAGGGGTCGCTATGAGTCGGGGCCGACTCGACGGCACATAACAACAACAACAACAGAGTCGAAACATGTCCAAAGCAATCAACTTCCTTTCTTCAAGCTGCTAAAATCAGAGCACTGATGCCTAAGGTTCTGACCAATATCATCTATTTTGCATGTAGATACTGCATTGGAGGCCCTTGGGTTTATGTGTAGGTGGATATTTTTGACTTATGGCATATATATGAATAAACGGAAGTTTTACAGCAAGTGAAGCATTTAAGTGGTGATGATGAAAATCACAGTATATATGAAAATGAATTACAACAGATCTGAACACACTGAAAACTAGAACTTGACAGTTCCACTTGGTATTCAACCCAGAGAACAAAGGAGGAATTGTACAGTAACATGTAATAATCAAGCAAAAGAGAGAAGAATGGGAAAACTAGAGTTAGAGATGAAGCAATTCTAACTCCTTTGTCTCCGGGTGAGAGAGCTTCTTCATATCAGTTTCCATGAGGTAGCATGAAGAAAACTTAGTAAACTTCTCCCAGCCCCCTGCCCTACCCCCAGAGGAAGCATGAGCAGGCTGTGTTTACTTTCTATCCATGTCTGATGCGGCAGCATAGTGCAAAGCTGTCCGTCCCCAGTCATCTGTTTCATTAACGTTGGCCCCTGTGGTCACTAATGTCTCAATACAGTGGAAATGACAATTTGCAGCTGCATAGTGCAAAGGGGTCCTGGAAAACAAACAGCAAGTTATTACATCATTAAGTCTGAAAAACAGACTCATCACCAGCACTAGCACTGACAGCAGTATTCTGAGGGGTCTAGAAAGTTCTGTTCTTAGATCATAAATGCCTTTCTTTAACTATATAACTTGGAACTGAAGCTACAAGACCATCTACCCTCAGCTCTTTCCTTCATCTCCATTCCTAGTGTCATTTGTTTCAGGCCTCTATTATTGCTTATTTGGGTCACTGTTATACCATTGTCTTTGGCCTTTTTAGCTCTAATCAAGCTTCCATCTAATTTCCAGTTGGTATGAATAAAATGCTAGGTTTCCTAAGGTACCCACCCAAACCAAATTCACTGTCATTGAGTCAATTCCAGTTCCTGGCAACAATTTAAAACAGTAGAACTGCCCCCAAAGGGTTTCCAAGGCTGTAAATATTTATTAAAGCAGAGTGCCTCATCATTCTCCTTTGGAGCGATGGTGGGTTCAAACTGCTGACCTTTTGGTTAACAGCTGAGTGCTTTCACCTGGGCTCCTCTTTTAAGGTACAGCCCCCACATATGACAGTACTGATTTCAAACCTTCACTGGCTCCCTACTGAACAAAGCCTTGATTCCTTAGCCTGGAATTGAAGACCTTCCCACGGTGGTCCCAATCTATTTTTATAGAGTATCTTCCTCTCCCCAGATGTACCAATTGCTGTATCCAAAGAACCTGAGGTTTCCTCAATCATATCCATACTTCTTGCCCTTTTGCCCATGCTGTTTTCTTCCCCTGGATTGTCCTTTCTTGAATCACTTCCACTCATCAAACTCAACTCATTTTTAAGTGACAAAAATTCTTTCTCGTTGGAAATTGTTTAGCTCCAGTCTAGGACTCTCCTGGGGCTATCATCACACATTGCCTTGATTTTACTTAGTGGTGCATTGTCTCATCTTCTCCACTGAACTAGAAGCTCCCTGAGGATAAGGATCCAGGTTGATGGGGAGAACCATGCAGAAGGAATCAGAAGCCCTGGGTTCTAGTCTAGGCACATCTGCAAGCTGGGCCAAACCACTGCCCTCTCTCCATCTGGGCTTTCTCCTCCTTATTTTAATGAGGATGTTTTGGCAGCTGTGCCCTGAGGTCCCTTCTAGGTCTAAAATTCTATGTAATTGTATAAATTGTTTAGTTTCTCTGGGTTTGGCTTTCTCATCCACTAAATAGGTTAATAAACACTTCTCCACCCCCAACTCATAGAATTACTAGGAGAAACCAAGTGAGTAATATTCAGAATACAAATACCTTATTAACAGTTAGGCATTGCAAAAATACGAAGTAATTTGTTTCATATCACTTATTTATAGTTCTTAATTATTTAATAATTTTTCTGGTGTGCCTAACTAATATTTGAAGTCAGAATTGATGAGTTTGTTTTTTAAACAGAATAGTGATGAGTTTGTTTTTTAAACAGAATATTAAAAATAAAGTAACTTTATTTCAAGAATTATTCATTTATCATTTCTCAAGTACATCTGTTTTATAGTCAATTTACGGGCTTTTTTATTAGTTGCTTTTCCCCTCTTTAGTCCAGAAGAAGGAAATTATAAATATTTTATATATTGTATTGCTTGAGTTTTAATTAATTAGACTGAAATCAGTAGGTGTCAATCATGTGACAAGGTCCAGAGATAAAGAGACTCAGTCCTTGTTCTCAAGAGACACGTAATCAGGTGACGAGAGAGACAAGAAAGCAGTGAGTCCACTAGAATCGAGTGTGATGAGCACTGTGGTAGTAGAGTGTGTGAGATGTTAGGGGAGCAGAGACAAGGGGCCCGTGTTACAGTGAAAGGGGGGATACTTGATATGAATCTTGAAGGATGAGTAGGAGTTGTCTTAAGTAGATAAGTAGGAGAAGAGACTAGGGGATAAAAACAAGAGCCAGAATACAAATGGGTAGGAGGAATGGAGAATACTATAGGGAGGGGAGAGCACACACACATACATACACACACACAAACGTGTGTGTATGTATGTGTGTGTGTGTATATATATGAATATACCAGTTAGCATCATGTCATGTTTAGCTATGCAGAGGACCATCAAATTAAGAAAAGTTCTATGACCCATTCCAATAGCCAAAGGGATTGAGTTTGTTTGTTTTTAAAATATTTTAAACATGTCTAAAAATTTATCCGTTCCATAAAAAAAAAATAAAACCTTCCATAAATATATAATATGCTCCAGCTGTTGCCAGATTTTGGGTTGGGGGAAGGGAGAGTGAACGAACTCTATTCTGCTATAAACAGAATTTTCAAAACTATGTCCATGTAGGCGGTTAAAGAAAAAATGAAAGGAGAAGAGACACAATTGGCATTCCTAATCAGCAGCTGTGAGAGGAGATACTTTCCTTGTGGCTTGTGCCTGTTCTGTTGGTGTTTTGCTGCAAAAAGGAATTTCCTTCTGGGGATGGAATCTTCCCAGCTAGTTTCCGTGTTTAGCATTTCAACACAACATGATTTCCAGAGGAACTGCTCCCTGTTCTTATTTGGGCACTTGAAGAACTGCCTGATTACATACCTCCCACACTTGTCCTTTCTATGGAAATCCGCTCCGCTGCTCTGCAAGAGTTTTATACATTCCACATTACTAGAAAGACAGGGAAAAAACATCATTAAGATGATAAAGATCAGTTACTGGTTAGCTTCAGAAAAAGCTGTTCTCAATAGAATACAGCCTAAGATGAAATGGTAACTTCAGGTTTAAAGTCTGCTAACGAAAATATAACCTGAACATTTTAGAGTAATGTCATATCTTAAGGCTCTAAAGTCCTTAAAATTTTCTTTTAAAAAAGTCAGTAAAGACCTTGATGGGACATTTTCAATTCCATGAGCAAGGAATCTAATGATTACTGCATGATTAAACCTCTCAATGATGGTTTCATCACTTATCCTAAAATTCTTTCTCAAAACATGAAGAGTTTATGAAACAACCACTTAAACCTATAATAATTCCAAGTCACCTTTAAACAACGACCTGTAGCGGATAAACATTAATTTTATCATAGCAGAATGAATTCACCATAATAACCATTTTTGAGCCAGGCTCTCCTTAATGGAAAATAAAATAGCTGCATTTCCCTGTCTTTGTAATCTAGATAAATAAATGTGCAGAACCAAGGCCGAAAATGATGTAATAGGGCATAATGATCTTCCAAAGCTTCTTTGTCATCTGAAGAAGCAATAAATCATGTTTAGTAGAAAGAGGCCCATTGAAGTGAATTTTCCTTTTGAAGGGCATGCTGCTAAATATTAATTTTAATAGGAGTTTCAGACATGAATCCAGAATGATGTGTTGCCACTTTCTGTACAAGACTGATATATATATATATATAAATGTGGGTATAAAACAAGATAATCATCTGTTATTGTTCTAAACTTGAGATTCTAAGGAAAAAAACCTAGAATTTATTACTTATTACAATTTAAATTAGAAGGATGATTTCATTAATGGAAACTCTACCTCAAACCTACCCTTTATAGTCAGGTGTTTCAGTCATAAAACAGAAGGGCTCTCTAAGACAGTTACATGCTGTTGTAGCGTAATGTCAGTTGACATAACACATCCATCTCTTACCGAGTTACGCCAAAGGATCAAAGACAGAGGCCGGCCCAGGTTGTATGGCTCATGAAATTCATATAATTTGAGGGGTGTGGGAGGACTCTTTTTAAAAGGAATACGAAAGCAATTTGTTTTTGTTGTGTTTTTCAGGAAAACAAAACTATGTAGGAGACTTTGAAGGACCCATACAAATAGGGGGGCCTAAAGCTTCTAATAGGGAGCTCTGGTAGCATAGTCCCTAAGGCACTTGACTGCTAACCAGAAGGTTGGCGGTTCAAACCCACTCAGAAGGAAGGTTGGGCAACCTACTTCCATAGTGATACCGCCTCGGAAACCCATGGAAGGGTTGCTATGAGTCGGGACCAACTTGAGGGCACATAACAACAACAACAAAGCTTCTAATAAATAGGCAATGCCTCTGATAACATGTTGAGGACTAATGGAGAAGCTCTGCTGTTCCCTAAGGAACAGGATTTTAAGAACCAACATCTTACTCAAACAAGGCCACCTGACAGAGGCCATGTTTGGTCAGTGTGAGGGTATATATCAACAATTTATTGATCAGAGCATTACTCTAACCAGTGATATGAAAAACTCCCTTTGTAAATTCCAAAAAGAAACAAAGAAAGAAAATCCCAACAAGGTCTAAATCACTTCTTCCCTATATTTTGAGTTCTCTTTTGACTTTTGTTTTGTTTCACATTTAATCATTATAAAGACTTAAAAATCAGTTTTGAAATAAGGGCAATAATTTCTGTAAATGAAGATGAATTAATTCACTCTTAGATACCCTTGATCATCACTCACCTACCAGCAACAAAGAGGAAAAAAACTCAAATTCTTGTCTTTTGGTGGATGGTGTACCAAATAGGTATTTATTATGAAGGATTAATATCTATAACTTAGGAAAAAAATAGCAAGGCAAGAGAGAAAGAAAAGCAAAGCAAAAAAAAAAAAAAAATTCTATATGAGATGAGGTAACAATTTTTCTTTGGAAAACCAAAATGCAAGTAATTGGGGAACATAGTGATAGTTGGTTTGCTAGATTCACACACAACCTAAGTCAGTTAAGATGAATTAGTCACTGAGTCATGAATAACTGAAGTCACTAATTACTCACCCTCCTGCAGCAGCAGCGTGAAGGCACGTTCTTCCAAATTTATCTGGGGTGTCTATTTCAAAGCCTGCAGACAGCACGTGCTCGTTACTAAACAAGGATACTATGCTATACTTTTGTCCTAGTTAAACCACAAGAAACATTGCAGAGACAGAAAAATCAGTTAGTAGAAAAACCAGAATGCAAGCAACTACAGTCAGAAAGAGGTTGTCATGGAAACGAATGGTAACTGCTCAAGCTTGGCAATTTTATAGGAAGAACCGTGAAGTCGAGAAGAATTTATTTTCACATTCAGCCCTGGATGAACCACAGCCCCATTCTTCAATCACAGGATAGAAATTTATGAAACCAATTTGAGATAAGTGGGGCAATAGACAAGCAGACGGAACACATGGAGAAAACATGGAAAGCAAAGGTGTACTCATAACATACTGGAAAAGATTTTTTTTAAAAGTGTATTCCTAGCTTTTGGTTGGCTTAAGATTTAGCAAACATGCTTTCATGCGGGGTTCTTTTTAAACATGCCAACAGCAGTGAAAGCAGAATCAACCACAGGTAAAGTACTTAAAGGAAAAAAAAAAGCCTCTGGGATATCTTATGAATTAATTCATAAACAGTCTTTGCCTGCAGACCTGTATCACCTTTGAAAGCCCAGGAACGTCTTAATATATAGCGGTTGACAGAAATGGTGATAAGAAGGATTAGCAAAGCGTCAAACAGAAAGCATCTCTTGGTTCCAAATAACCCCACGTTAAAAAAATAAATGTTTTTTAAGTTTTATATTGATTTTTCAAAGCTTACAAAGTGGGATGGTAATACAACATTTACAATTATTAAAATGTGGGGAATTTTGCCTTTTGTGTTGTTGCTGAAAAATACTAAATGTTAAGGCATCATTTTAAACCTCAAAGATGGCTTTTCTTTCTATGACAAACTTCTGGTAAGCTTTGGACGTCCCCACCTCTCTCCCACCCAGGGTTACCCAAGCTTTAAGTTGAAAGACAGACAAGACAATCATTCAGGGGCAGGAATACACCCTCCTCTCACTTATTGACATGGTTAGATTCCAAAGACCATGGTGTTATGCAAAAATCAGCTATTTGTGAAAATGGAGGGTGACCATATCAAGTCACAACGTGGAAGATGATATCTTCACACTCCACATCATTACATAACTGCCAAATCACTGAGAATCAGGGCCTAGACAACTTGACACATAACCATGACAGCCAGCATTACTCTTACCTCACACCACAGTGTTTGTTACTGCCAGATGTACATCGTTAATGCACAAAATAATTGATAGCAGATTTTTTTACTATTGCTGTAAATGTGAAATGTTGGATAACAAGATAGTTGATAAGTGAGGAGTGGGTGTACTGACATTTGAGCAGCATCCGCACCATGAACTACTAGGACCTGTTACATGCAGTTAACTGTGGTATTTTAACTTCTCCTGCCAGGTCAGGCAATGAAATGAAGTACAGGCAGCCACTCACTCTGACCAGACACCTAAAGCCATGTGACTCACTGACAAGACACATTAAGCCTCATCTTTAATAATGGATTTACTTACCTGATGATAGCAACTTTCTGCAGCAGTCAGAGTGAGCATTTAGGGCTGCTAAATGTAAGGGGAACATGCTATGGATTCCACACCTGGGAAGGGAAAAAATAGAGCAGCTCATGGCAACAGATCTCAAATACATGCAGAACGGGTGCCTTTCTAGAGGTTTCCTGATGAAAATTAAGTCCATGATGCTTTGCTTAGGGACTCTTCAGTAAAACAATTTTGCAATTCTTCCATTCAATAATTATGCAATCATTTTCTACTCTAAAATAATAAAATCTTGGATTTCCAGAATTAAAAGCCAATAACAATTAAAACAAAAAACCCATTGCCATTGAGTTGATTCTGACTCATAGCAACTCTATAGGATAGAGTAGAACTGCCCCATAGAGTTTCCAAGGCTATAAATCTTTATGGAAGCAGACTGCCTCATCTTTCTCCTGTGGAGCAGTTGGTGGGTTCAAACTTCCAACCTTTTGGTTAGTAGCCAAGTGCTTTTAACTACTGCACCACCAGAGCTCCTTATAAAAACAGAAATGTATATTTTTATGAAAATTAAATTCATATAAACAGTGACTATTTAAATCTAAAATTAATTACTCTCTCTTGTTTTTGTTCAGCTTGTTGTTGTTGTTGTTGTTATGTGCCATCGAGTCGGCCCCGACTTGGGTTTCCGAGGCAGTATCACTACGGAAGTAGGATTGCCCAACCTTCCTTCCGAGGAGTGGCTGGTGGGTTTGAACCGCCAGCCGTCTGGTTAGCAGGCAAGTGTCTTAGCCACTATGCTACCAGAGCTCCCTTGTTCAGCTTAGCAATTGTATATCTCATTTATTTATTCATTCATTCATCTATCCAACAGTTTCTAAGCATCAGGTAAGATGCTCAGTGCTGGAGATAATAATACTGAGCTATACCAACTCTTCATCTTCCTCATAGACATTTATATTACACATAAACCCTCATTGAGATACCAGTTACAAAAACAGCAAAGATTAATAAATATTGTCTTGTATATATTTCGTAAACATAACAGATATTCCCTCATAGTATTATAGAAAGAATCCAGAAAAGTATTTTTTAGACTGATCCCTTAGGATACAAGGTCTTCAGGATGATCCTTTAAGGGACAGGCAGCCTGCTGATGATAGCATTTTTTGCTTTCAGAATAAAATCCTGCTTTCCTCGTCTCAACACCTTCTCACTGGAAGATGGACCAGAATCTGTGTGCTGAACTGCAGTTCACAACAGTATCATTGGGTGATTCCCACGTGCTTCTAAAGCATTTCTAATAATGTTAGTGGTTATTTCTCATGATCTCTCCTTTCAGTCAAATCATTAAAGCCTCTGCAAAACACAAGCAAGTATGGATGCATCCTATAGCTTTATTGCTCGAGTTTCTTCTCCAGCAGAAAATGGCTTGTTTGCAGATTCTTCACTCCATAAAGAAACACAGTTATTATTATATGTGTGAATATGTGAAAGCATATATGTGTGTGTGTGTGTGTGTGTGTGTATGTATATGTATATGTATGCATATATTCACAGATATTTCATGGTATACAGTGTTTGGTAAAATCCAAGTCTGTGAACAATTAACCACCATTCTCTTTCCATGATAACTTCTATTTATTGGCATTTTTGTTCAGTCTTCTCTCTGTTTGGTTTCCTTTCTGTATATGGAGATTGCCAACCCATTGTATAATAGGTGGCATCCATCAAGAAATGCAATTTGCCCGTCTTCAGGCAGTGTCATGTAGAGGAGAACTGCTTGTAATTGCTCCTCTCACCATTTACAAAAAAAAATTCTGAAAAGCAATTGCATCAGTGACGACCTTGAGGCTCCTGAAAAGGAGGAGGGAGCTGGGGAATGGGAGAGAAGCCTTTTCTATTTATACCTGTATTTATATTGTTCCTTTTTGATACGAGTGAAACATACTAATTTTTTTAATGTACAACATGATTTAAAAGCTTTTTACTAAATGGAATTTTAATGTGATTTTACCTAGCCATTTCATTTGTTTGTAAAAGATAAGGAAAAAGTATATGATTAAATATCTCTAGAGATTTGGAAAAGGAAAATGGATAGAATATTTTCTAGGATTGTTTTATGTACATGTGCCTAAAGGAATGGATTTCTTTTAGTTTTCCTCAAAAAAAAAAATATATATATATATTAGTTTTTCCTCAGTATTTATATACATAAATGCACATATACAATGCATACCTATATATACAAAAATATTTAATCAATTTTACAAAAATTAAAATTAACACAAATCCACAAGACCTAAAGTATGACCTAGAGTATATCCTCCCTGAATTTAGAGACCATCTAAAGAATAGATTTGACACACTGAACAATAATGACTGAAGACCAGAGGAGCTGTGGGATGACATCAAGTACAGCATACATGCAGAAAGCAAAAGGTCATTTAAAAGACAAGAAAAAAGAAAAGACCAAAATAGATGTCAGAAGAGATTCTGAACTTGAACTTGCTCTTGAACACAGAGTAGTTAATGTAAATGGAAAAAAATGATGAAATAAAACAACTGAACAGAAGATTTCAAAGGGCAGCTCAAGAAGACAAAGTAAAGTACTATAATGAAATGTTCAAAGACCTGGAGTTAGAAAACCAAAGCACACTTGGCATTTCTCAAGCTGAAAGAACTGAAGAAAAAATTCAAGCCTTGAGTTGCAATACAGAAGTATTCTAGGGGTAAGATATTGAAATATTGAATGATGCAGGAAGCATCAAAGAAGATGGAAGGAATACACAGGTTATGGTACCAAAAAGAATTGGTCAGTGTTCAGCCATTTCAGGAGGTAGCATATGATCGAGAACCAATGGTTCTGAAGGAAGAAGTCCAAGCTACATTGAAGGCACTGACAAAAAACAAGGATCCAGGAATTGACAGATTATTTATTGAGGTATTCCAATAAATGGATGCAACATTAGAAGCACTCACCTGTCTATGCCAAGAAATTTAGAAGACAGAAACCTGGCCAACCAGCTGGAAGAGATCCATATTTGTGCCCATTCCAAAGAAAAGTGATCAAATGAAAATTATAGAACAGCATCATTAATATCACACATAAGTAATATTTTGTTGAAGATAATTCAAAAATGGTTGTGTCAACAGGGAACTGCCAGAAACTCAAGCTGGATTCAGAAGAGGACATGAAATGAGGGATATTATTGCTGATGTCAGATGAAGTCTGGCTGAAAGCAGAGAATACCAGAAAGATATTTACCTGTGTTTCATTGACTTTGCAAAGCATTCGACTGTGTGGATCATAACAATTAATGGATAACATTGAGAAGAATGGGAGTTCCAGAACATTTAATTGTGCTCATGCAGAACCTGTACATAAAATAAGAGGCAGTTGTTGGAACAGAACAAGAGGATACTGCATGGTTTAAAATCAGGAAACGTGTGCATCACGGTTGTATCCTTTCACCATACTTATTAAATAAGCAAATAATCTGAGAAGCTGAACTGACTATATGAAGAACACAGCATCAGGACTGGATGAAGATTCATTAACAACCTGTGATATGTAGATGATACAATTTTGCTTATGGAAAATGAAGAGGACTTGAAGCACTTACTGACGAAGATCACAGCCTTCAGTATGGATCACATCTCAACACAAAGAAAACAAAAATCCTCACAACCAATAAGCAACATCATGATAAACACAGAAAAGCTTAAAATTGTCAAGGATTTCAATTTCCTTGGATCTACAATCAATGCATACGGAAGCAGCAGTCAAGAAATCGATGTATTGCATGGGGCAAATCTTATGCAAAAGACCTTTGTAAAGTGTTCAAACAAGATGTCACCTTGAGGATTAAGATGTGCCTGACCAAAGCCATTGTATTTTCAATTGCCTCATATGCATGCAAAGGCTGAACAATGAATAAGGAAGACTGAAGAAGAACTGATACCTTTGAATTATGGTGTTGGCAAAGAATATTGACTATACTATGCACTGTCCAAAGAAGGAACAATCAACCTTGGAAGAAATACAGCCAGAATGCTCCTTAGGAGTGAAGATGGTGAGACTCTGTTTCATATACTTTGGACATGTTATTAGGAGAAACCAGTCCCTGGAGAAAGACCTCAGGGTTGGTAAAGTACAGGTTTGGCAAAAAGGAGGAAGACCCTCAAAGACATGGATTGACACAGCAGCTGCAATGGTCTGAAACATCGATTGTGAGCATGGCACAGGACAAGTTAGTGTCTCATTCTGTTGTACACAAGGTCACTACGAGTCAGAACTCACTTGATGGCACCTAACATTTTAGAAAATATATATTTTATACAAAATAATACAAGTACATGGTTAGAGAAAATAGTATCAACTCTATAAGAAAGCAACTGGGAAAACATAAAAGTGTAAGTGATAGTGTAATAGCAACATTATTATAAACTTCATTATCAATACTTCTAATCAATCTCACCACTTAAAACTCTTGTCTTTAGATAATTAATCATACTTAACACTAGCTACTTATTTCATTTTTATTTTCTTTTAGTAATAAACCTCATTACTTGTTCAATCTGTACACTGAGCAAATAATCTGAGAAGCTGGACTATATGAGGAAGAACACACCATCAGAATTGAAGGAAGACTCATTAACAACCTGCAATATGCAGATAACACAACCGTTCTTGCTGAAAGTGAAGATGATTGAAGCACTTACTGATGAAGACCAAAGACCACAGTTTTCAGTATGGATTACACCTCAACATACAGAAAACACAAATCCTCACAACTGGACCAATAAGCAACATCACAAAAAATGGAGAAAAGGCTGCAGTTGTCAGGGATTTAATTTTTACTTGGATCCACAATCAATACCCATTGAAGCAGCAGTCAAGAAATCAGAGGTCATATTGCACTGGGGAAATCTGCTGCAAAAGACCTCTTCAACGTGTTAAGGAGCAAAGATGTCATTTTGAAGACTAAGGTGCACCTAACCCAAGCCATGATATTTTCAATCACCTTATATGCATGTGAAATGTGGGCAATGAATAAGGAAGACCAAAGAAGAGTTGATGCCTTCGAATTGTGATGTTGGT